CCCCCCCTTCCCCCCCTTGGATCCGCCCTTAACTGAAACTGTGCAACTTGATAAAAGGAAAACGTGTAAAAAGCAAGCAAATAACTTTGTTTGTATATCGAGTTTGCAACGGGAATAAAAACTCATTTTACTCTAAAAAATTGCCACCTTTTCAACTTTTCATTCGGGTCATTCTCATATCAATCATTCAAGACTTTTTCCTAAATTTCATCCAAAAGCGAGCAAATCTTTTCAACCAACGAAAAAATCCTCAATCTCTACAATTTGATGAAACAAACGAAAATCTAAAGCTTTCTCAGAGCTTGAGGCAAATCCGAATAAAGGCTTCAAAGCTTGGCATTTTTTGAGAATAAAAGGAGTTTTTATTCCAGTGTCAAACCTGCTATCCAAACAAACTTGCTTGCAAACGCGTAATAAAACCCGCAAATTGTGAACAATCTGTAACGACCAACTAATGGCCCCCGAGCCCTTGAATAAACAGGCAATAAGTACCGCATAACGACCGCTAATGAAGCCATTAATTAGGGATATCAATTGGAAACGCATTAAGTGTCCTTTAGTAATGCAAGCATGAACTTGCCGTCATTACAGCATTAGAACTGACGAAGAAGTCGAACCATGTTGCCCAAGAAAAATGCATCTGGAACACTGAAAGTTTGTTATTATGAGTACCAGCCATACACAGGTACTGTTGAGTTTTACACATAAAATAGTGGGCCAAAAAGGTTGCTTTCCAGACGTTGAAAGCTCAATTTTGAACATGACGGCGGTTTATCTGGGAGTGAACATCAGCTACCTAAAATACCATGGCCCAAGGACTTATCGATGCAAGCCAGGAAATCACTCAAAGGGAATTTTTGATCACCTAATCAACCACACGTGTGATGTGGTGATTGGGACGAATCCATGCGTGGATGATTTACAGGCTTTCGATTTATCTGTTTCCCATATGGAGGATGGAAGCGCTTTAGTTGTGCCCACAGCGAATTGCCCCAGATTCGTCGGCCTAGTCCAAATTCGTCCTGAGCTTGCACTGGCCATTTTCGGGGTTTTTCTTGCGCTCTGCATCATCGGGATAACTGTGCTGCGCTCCCCATTCAAAGCGAGTTTTCAATCCATTGTCCGAGACCAGTACAAAACGAAATTTTTCGTGATATTTCCACTGCTTTCCCTAGTGCTGCTTATGGAAGGCTTGATGCAAGGCACCATTTACCACATGCTGGTTTGCTATGTAACCGCCTGCCAAGCGAGGAATGTCGATGATATTCTGGCGAGGAACATGAAAATTACCGTGGAATCTTTCATCTTGGAGGACCTGATTGAAACCACCTTCAAAACCATTGATAAAAATCAGCTGCGGAAATACTGGCGAAACGAGACAGATGTAGAAGGGATGGACCCCAATCAGAACCATATTCTACGAGAACTGATCTTCAAGTATCTTCTAGCTAAGGTTTATACGCAGGAAAACGCTGCCACTTTCAAGCTGGTGCAGATAATCAAACGAGTTCCCTACAATTTGTTTTTGAGCAAAAACCATCCGCTGCTGGCTGAGATTAACGAGGGAATCATGCGGCTGCAGCAGAGCGGCCTCAGTGGGCTCTTAATCGAAAAAGCTTTGGGCTACAAGAACTGGAAGCAAGGAGTAAAACGCTCGCAAATCCAGACGCATTTCACTCCGGTGAAAATCCGGGAAATTTCGTGGTTGGTCATCGATTATTTTGTGTGTGTTTTCATCAGTTTTTTGGTGTTTTTGATCGAGATTTCTGTCAATCAAATTGGTGGGGAAATGATTTCGCCACCAAAGGCACTTACTTGGACACCACTTTGAAATTTTTGGTCTGGATTTCCTTCTGCAGCTCCTTCTCACGTTGAGCTGATGTCACTGTGTAACTGATATTTTTGGGAAGCGCCGAATTCCAGTAGCCAGTTAACCGGAAGGCTCCATCGACCGGTTTCGATCTTTCCACAATCTGGAGGATTAAGTTCCTCCTCTGACCGTGCTGGTCAAACAGTACCGGACCAGTTAAATATCCGGACAGCAAAGGCTTGCTTTGCTTGGAGGGCTAAAATGTTCTCATTATATCATGCACATCGCAAGATCTGTACCCAGTAAGTTTACCTTTTTGATGACTTCGTACATTTTCGTGCCATATTCAGTGACTTCAGAGCGATCGCAGTCCAGAGGTTTGATTTGCAGCTGCTCTTTCTGCGATAAATCCCGGAACGCAGTGATGAAGACACTCACTGCATCGTATATTAACGCCATTCGAGTCTGGAACAAGATGTTTAACTTTGTCAGACTA